GAGCTGCTCAGCTGCGGCTTCCGACCGGTCCCGGCGGCGGCCACGCTGAGCGCTGCCGCTGCCCCCCCAGCCGACATCTACGACAAGGTGTCCGGCGAGATGCAGAAGAAAGGCTACGACTGCGAGTGCCTGGGCGGCGGGCGGATCTCCCACCAGAGCCAGGAGAAGAAGATCCACGTGTACGGCTACTCCATGGTGAGGCTGCCGCCCCCCCCGCGCGCGGCTCCCCGTTTCCCACGTGCACGGGGTGGGCGGGAGGCCCCTCGGCCGAGTCCTGTTCCTGCCTCAGGAGGCCTGGGTGGGCTGTCACTGTCCCCCAGCTCCTTGGGGGGTCAGCATCCGGGTGAAGCTCAGAGGCCGCCCTCTCCCTTCGGTAGAAACAGGGACATTCTCTTGGCGCCTGGAATAGCCCAGGCCTCGGGCTAGAGACCCACCGGCCAGGTCTCTTCGCTTGGTGGCCACCTTTCTGCAGGAGGGCTCCCTGGGGTGGTTGGGGAATGATGGCATTTGGCTCCCCCCGGGGACCCTGCCCCACTCTGGCTCCTGGGTGTCACTGCTCACTGGACAGCCAGAGCTAGGACACGGGGTGTAAGAGGTGCCTTCTGTCTTCAGGGATACGGCCGTGCTCAGCACTCCACCTCCACGGAGAAGATCAAAGCCAGGTACCCCGACTATGAGGTCACCTGGGCTGATGATGGCTACTGAGGCCCACCTGAGGCCTGCTGCCTCCAGCTGCCCATTCAGAACTCTGCCCTTGAACCCCCCTCCTGAGGGGCTGGGCTGTACCCCCTGGCACTGTGCCACCCTACCCAGGCCTCAGAGATGGACACCAGCCTGGTCCCAGTACCTGGGTTTACCTCATCCACTGGAATTAAAAGCATTATCACCCCAGCTGGTCCCTGGATGGTGTGTGTCTTGGCTTCTCTGTTCCTGTGTCACTCCTCTGGACCCCTGACTAGAGTGGGTAGGTAGCAGAGAACCAGAGGCAGCCCTGGGGGCGGCTGGTCCCCTTCTGGCTGCCCCTCACCCAGCTCCACCTCTGGGGGCCCCAGGGAGTAGTAGTGCACACTCAGCCCTTTGGAGTCTAATAAGGGACCCCCTCCCAGCTGCTGTCCCGTTTATGGCCTAATTGCTTCTCCTCTTGGCTGCTATCCCCAAGGACATCTGGGCGGAGGCCACCTAGCCCTTGCGCAAGGAGTCAGCACCTGGTTCCTCAGGGCCTGGGGTTGGGAGTGGCCATCCCAGCGTGCAGGGCAGGGAGGGCACCAGTGACCGCCGCCCTGGCAGCTGATTTTGGTATCCCTGTGCATTCTGCCAGCCAAGGTCACCCATGGAAGTGGCTTGTGACTCCTTGCTTCCAAGATCAGGTCTCACAGACCCTGCCTCCCAGCTGAGGGGAATAGGCAGAGCTTCCGACCTGGAGCTGGGAGCCCCTCTCCCAGAACCCCCTTCCCTCTTCCCAATGCAGGGCTGTGGGGGTCACCAGGCACACTGAGGCCCAGCTGTCCCTGTGGCTCACTGGGAGTGGGTGGGCCCTGCTACACCTGCCATCTGCTGCATGTGACTCCAGTGAGCTCACAGCAGCCTCTCTGCAGGTGTAGCACCACCACTTCTTACATGTGAGGAAACAGGCCCCAAGGTCACAGCATGAACTGCAGGCAGAGCCCAGCTCCGAGCCCTGCACTGGGGGGAGGGGGGTCTATGGTCTGTGCCATGAAAATCTGGGCCCCTGGGTGCCCAGCCATGGCTTCTCTGAATAGTGTTTTGAATGAAGAAGGGAACAGGAAACTCAGGCTGAGTGCCGGAGATGGAGGTGGTCGAGGTCCCTGGCTGTCAGCCCTCCTCCCGGGTTTATACGTGCTGGGCTCCTGCCAGCAGCCTGGGCCAGGCTGACCTCACAGCCAGGGTGGGGACGGAGCCCTGAAGAAGTGGCCACATGCAGCCTGTGCTGTCTGGAGCTGCCTCCATTGGGGCCTCTACCAGGCATGGCTGAGCGGCAGTTGGCCTGATGGCCAGGGCCAGACCTTTGGTCTGGAGTTGCTGGACAGGTCAGAGCTGACCTGGGCCAGAGGCCCCTCTCCTGGACCCTTTTACAACCGAATGTTTGTCCTCATCAGGCAGGGTGGGGCTGGCCAAGGGGCCTCAGGTGCAGAAGGGGCCGAGGCCCCCTTTCCAGTTAGAGCAGAGTCAGCCTGTGGGACCGAGGGCTGATAACTGAGCAAAGTCCCCACCAGGCTGCCCAGTGTGCACACAGCCCTGGCCTCGCTTCCTTGGGCCTGACCATGCCTCTGCCCAGCCACCTCCTGCCTGCCCTGGTCCTGCTCCTTGGTGAGTCGTTGGATTTGGCTCCTGAAGCAGAGCTGGCTGGGGACTCGGGTACAAGGCCCTAGGTGACCTGCTGTAGCGGGACCCAGAGCGAGCCCTCAGGGTCCTGGGGATTGCCCCACTGGGCAAGGGGCAAGACTTTTGCTCTCCCAGGCCCCAGTTTCTACCCAGGCCCCAAGGTGAGAGGGCCCAGAGGCAGATCTGTGCTCCTGGACTGTGTGGAGCTTGAGGGGGTCTGGGTTACCCATTGATATACCCCCTTGGGGGGTACCCTCCCTACTGGGCTCCTGCTTCCCTCCCCAGGGGGTGTTCCACATGGGGGGCCCTTGGTCCCATGCATGCCCACATCTCTCCATACCGGCTTGCAGCCAGCCTCTCTGGGGCCAGAGGTGCTCTGCTTGGCCTTGACAGGGAGGCCCCAGCCACAGACCCAGCCCCCTCCCTTCTTGACCTCTCAGCCTGGAACCCAAAGCAGGACAACCAACAGCCTGGCTGCCAGGGACTAAGGGACAGTCCCAGGCAGATCAGGATGGGGGGAGTCACCCTGCCTCAGACCACTTGCCTGTCTGCTGGCAGCAGGGTCCCCAGGCTGGGCCTGGGCCCCCAACCACTGCAGGGCCCCCAGGGACACCATGTGCAACTTCGTGTGTGACTGCTGGGACTGCTCCGACGAGACCCAGTGTGGTGAGCCAGGTCAGGCGGGGGGAGTGGGCAGGACCAGCCCTCTGAGGGTCACTTACCTGACCACCGACTGTCTCAGGTTACAGTAGGGCCTCACCCTCCCGGGGCGCCCCCTCCACCTGTGACTTCGAGCAGGACTCCTGCGGCTGGCGGGACATCAGCACCTCAGGCTACAGCTGGCTCCGGGACCGCGCAGGGGCTGTGCTGCAGGGTCCCGGGCCTCGCTCAGACCACACTCTTGGCACTGACCTGGGTGAGGCCTAGTGGGTGGGTGTCCATGCCAAACCCTCCCTCCTTTGGGTCCTGCCCGGTCTTCTAACCTCTCTGCCTGTCCAGGATGGTACGTGGCTGTTGGCACTCACCGTGGGAAAGAGGCTTCTGTGGCAGCCCTGCGTTCCCCTGTCCTGAAGGAGGCAGCCCCTACCTGCGAGCTGAGACTCTGGTACCACGCAGCCTCTGCAGGTGTGCGCCCAGAATCCTGCAACCTGAGTGGGGTGCCCTGAGGGAAGACAGGAAAAAAAGTCTGGCTGCTGCAGAAAACGGAAGGGTGCCCCAGAGAAGGGGCAGGAGTCTGGAGGCAGGGCACAGCCAGCAGGCTGGGGGAGGCAACCAGGGCCTCAGCTGCCCCGTGACCCCCCAATACAGATGTGGCTGAGCTGCGGTTGGAGTTGACCCGTGGCATGGAGACACTGGCCCTGTGGCAGAGCTCAGGGCCCTGGGGCCCAGGCTGGCAGGAGCTGGTGGTGGCTCCTGGCCGCATCCGGGGTGATTTCCGGGTGAGCTGGAGGGTGGTCTGGATGGTAGGGCAGCGGGTTGGGTCTGAGCCCTGACTTAGGTCCTAAGGACCCTGCTCTCTTCAGGTGACTTTCTCTGCCACCCGAAATGCCACCCACAGGGGTGCTGTGGCCTTGGACGACGTGACCTTCCAGGGCTGTGGGCTGCCCAGTAAGACCCCAGGCCATGGGCCCACACCTGGGGGGCAGTGGGTAATGGAGTGCTTCGCCGGTCACTCCCAGCTCAGAAGGCCTCCAGCTTCTCCCCCAGCTGCCCCCCCCCCAGGGTTTTGGGGCCAGGGTAATAGGTTAACCCTCCTCCCCAGCCCCCCAGGCAAGCTGCCCCCTGGGGCATCACCATTGTCAGAACAAGGCCTGCGTGGAGCCCCACCAACTGTGCGACGGGGAGGACAACTGTGGGGACAGTTCAGATGAAGACACACCCCTGTGCAGTGAGCTGGGGTTCTCATGCAGAGAACGTGGGAGAGGGCTATACCCTGGCTTGGTCCTTCTGGGGGTGGGGGAGCCCTGTCCATGGCGATGGAGCTACACAGGCCGAGGGTCGGGGAGGAGGCCCTGCTCAGTGGCCTGAGCCCCACTGCCTGGCCTAGGCCACCACACATCCACTGACTTTGAGACGGGCCTGGGCCTATGGAACCACTCTGAGGGCTGGACCCGGAATCACAGTGCTGATGTCCCCAAGCACCCCGCCTGGCCGCCCCGAGACCACAGCCGGAACAGCGCACAGGGTGAGACCCCCTGGGACCCTCTGCCACAGCCCTGGCTCACACTAGGCCATAGGCCCGCCCCCCCCAGCCCCCCACACACGCACCTGCTCTCTCCCCAGGCTATTTCCTAGCATCCGTGGCTGAGCCCAGTGCCCCTGCAGTCCTCTCCAGCCCCGAGTTCCAAGCTTCAGGTCCCCATAACTGCTCGGTGAGGCGGGCAGAGGGATGCAGGGTTGACTGTCCTGGCTCCTGGGGCCTTAGAGCGTCTCCCCTGACCGTCCTTGATCCCTTCCCAGCTCACCTTCTATCACTACCTGCATGGGTCTGAGGCCAGCCTCCTCCAGCTGTACCTGCAGGCTCAGAACCCCGGTACCCCCCTCGACCCTGTCCTGCTGCGCAGGCGCCACGGGGAGCTGGGGGCTGGCTGGGTCCGAGACCGGGTTGACATCTGGAGCAAGCACCCCTTCCAGGTGAGGCCGGCAAGGGCAGTGGGGGGGGGACAGACAGGCGACCTTCTAGGCTGCCTCAGCAGGGAGCTTGCTGGTTTGTTTGTGGGCTGCAGAGAGGCCAAGGGAAGGGGTGGCTATCCGAAGGCCCCTCCTGCTGAGCTGTGAGGGGTGGCAATGGGGGAGGTGTCCAGCAAAATATAAAGTACAAGGTGTAGGGTGGTGGGGGAGATGGCGCAAGGGAACAGACCCTGGGACAGCAGGTGGATGCCGGGGTACCCCCTGATCCCCCTATGTCCTCAGATCCTCCTGGTTGGGCAGACGGGTCCCAGGGGTGTCGTGGGCCTGGATGACCTCATCCTGTCTGATGGCTGCAAACCAGTCCTGGGTGAGCCCGCTGAGCCCCTGCCCCTCCAGGCAAGCACAGCCCCCCACACTCCCCTGATGCCCACCCCCATTCTGCTTTGCCCCCATAGAGGGATCCCGCTCGCCCCCTGGGCTCTGGGCCCCAGTTCCCAGGCCCCAGCATTTCTGTGGGCCAGGACATCTCTCCTGTGGTAGCCTGTGTGTGGCCCCAGAGCAGCTGTGTGACTTCCAGCAGCAGTGCGAGGGGGGCCAGGACGAGCAGGACTGCGGTGAGGGGCAGCTGGAAGGGTGGGGCCTCCCTCCCTCCGGACCCTCCCCACTGCCAGGGGGCTGGCCCCAGACCGCTCAGCACCCCTCGCTGTTGCAGGCAGCACGGACTTCGAGTCCCCCACAGCTGGGGGCTGGGAGGACTCCAGCGTGGGGCGGCTGCAGTGGGGACATCTCCCGGCAGAGGAGAGCAGGGGCCCCTGCACGGATGCCAGCGGGGCTGCTACGGGTGAGGCCTCAGTCCCCAGCCCAGGGCAGCCTGGAGCCTGCTGCCTGGCTCCCCTGCTGGGCTCCCTGGAAGGAGGCAGCTCTGAGCGGCCCTGCTCTTCCCCAGGGCACTTCCTGTCCCTGCAGAGGGCCTGGGGACAGCTGACAGCAGAGGCCCGGGTCCTCACACGCCCCCTGGGCCCCTCAAGCCCCCACTGTGAACTCCACATGNGGGGCGCCCCCTCCACCTGTGACTTCGAGCAGGACTCCTGCGGCTGGCGGGACATCAGCACCTCAGGCTACAGCTGGCTCCGGGACCGCGCAGGGGCTGTGCTGCAGGGTCCCGGGCCTCGCTCAGACCACACTCTTGGCACTGACCTGGGTGAGGCCTAGTGGGTGGGTGTCCATGCCAAACCCTCCCTCCTTTGGGTCCTGCCCGGTCTTCTAACCTCTCTGCCTGTCCAGGATGGTACGTGGCTGTTGGCACTCACCGTGGGAAAGAGGCTTCTGTGGCAGCCCTGCGTTCCCCTGTCCTGAAGGAGGCAGCCCCTACCTGCGAGCTGAGACTCTGGTACCACGCAGCCTCTGCAGGTGTGCGCCCAGAATCCTGCAACCTGAGTGGGGTGCCCTGAGGGAAGACAGGAAAAAAAGTCTGGCTGCTGCAGAAAACGGAAGGGTGCCCCAGAGAAGGGGCAGGAGTCTGGAGGCAGGGCACAGCCAGCAGGCTGGGGGAGGCAACCAGGGCCTCAGCTGCCCCGTGACCCCCCAATACAGATGTGGCTGAGCTGCGGTTGGAGTTGACCCGTGGCATGGAGACACTGGCCCTGTGGCAGAGCTCAGGGCCCTGGGGCCCAGGCTGGCAGGAGCTGGTGGTGGCTCCTGGCCGCATCCGGGGTGATTTCCGGGTGAGCTGGAGGGTGGTCTGGATGGTAGGGCAGCGGGTTGGGTCTGAGCCCTGACTTAGGTCCTAAGGACCCTGCTCTCTTCAGGTGACTTTCTCTGCCACCCGAAATGCCACCCACAGGGGTGCTGTGGCCTTGGACGACGTGACCTTCCAGGGCTGTGGGCTGCCCAGTAAGACCCCAGGCCATGGGCCCACACCTGGGGGGCAGTGGGTAATGGAGTGCTTCGCCGGTCACTCCCAGCTCAGAAGGCCTCCAGCTTCTCCCCCAGCTGCCCCCCCCCCAGGGTTTTGGGGCCAGGGTAATAGGTTAACCCTCCTCCCCAGCCCCCCAGGCAAGCTGCCCCCTGGGGCATCACCATTGTCAGAACAAGGCCTGCGTGGAGCCCCACCAACTGTGCGACGGGGAGGACAACTGTGGGGACAGTTCAGATGAAGACACACCCCTGTGCAGTGAGCTGGGGTTCTCATGCAGAGAACGTGGGAGAGGGCTATACCCTGGCTTGGTCCTTCTGGGGGTGGGGGAGCCCTGTCCATGGCGATGGAGCTACACAGGCCGAGGGTCGGGGAGGAGGCCCTGCTCAGTGGCCTGAGCCCCACTGCCTGGCCTAGGCCACCACACATCCACTGACTTTGAGACGGGCCTGGGCCTATGGAACCACTCTGAGGGCTGGACCCGGAATCACAGTGCTGATGTCCCCAAGCACCCCGCCTGGCCGCCCCGAGACCACAGCCGGAACAGCGCACAGGGTGAGACCCCCTGGGACCCTCTGCCACAGCCCTGGCTCACACTAGGCCATAGGCCCGCCCCCCCCAGCCCCCCACACACGCACCTGCTCTCTCCCCAGGCTATTTCCTAGCATCCGTGGCTGAGCCCAGTGCCCCTGCAGTCCTCTCCAGCCCCGAGTTCCAAGCTTCAGGTCCCCATAACTGCTCGGTGAGGCGGGCAGAGGGATGCAGGGTTGACTGTCCTGGCTCCTGGGGCCTTAGAGCGTCTCCCCTGACCGTCCTTGATCCCTTCCCAGCTCACCTTCTATCACTACCTGCATGGGTCTGAGGCCAGCCTCCTCCAGCTGTACCTGCAGGCTCAGAACCCCGGTACCCCCCTCGACCCTGTCCTGCTGCGCAGGCGCCACGGGGAGCTGGGGGCTGGCTGGGTCCGAGACCGGGTTGACATCTGGAGCAAGCACCCCTTCCAGGTGAGGCCGGCAAGGGCAGTGGGGGGGGGACAGACAGGCGACCTTCTAGGCTGCCTCAGCAGGGAGCTTGCTGGTTTGTTTGTGGGCTGCAGAGAGGCCAAGGGAAGGGGTGGCTATCCGAAGGCCCCTCCTGCTGAGCTGTGAGGGGTGGCAATGGGGGAGGTGTCCAGCAAAATATAAAGTACAAGGTGTAGGGTGGTGGGGGAGATGGCGCAAGGGAACAGACCCTGGGACAGCAGGTGGATGCCGGGGTACCCCCTGATCCCCCTATGTCCTCAGATCCTCCTGGTTGGGCAGACGGGTCCCAGGGGTGTCGTGGGCCTGGATGACCTCATCCTGTCTGATGGCTGCAAACCAGTCCTGGGTGAGCCCGCTGAGCCCCTGCCCCTCCAGGCAAGCACAGCCCCCCACACTCCCCTGATGCCCACCCCCATTCTGCTTTGCCCCCATAGAGGGATCCCGCTCGCCCCCTGGGCTCTGGGCCCCAGTTCCCAGGCCCCAGCATTTCTGTGGGCCAGGACATCTCTCCTGTGGTAGCCTGTGTGTGGCCCCAGAGCAGCTGTGTGACTTCCAGCAGCAGTGCGAGGGGGGCCAGGACGAGCAGGACTGCGGTGAGGGGCAGCTGGAAGGGTGGGGCCTCCCTCCCTCCGGACCCTCCCCACTGCCAGGGGGCTGGCCCCAGACCGCTCAGCACCCCTCGCTGTTGCAGGCAGCACGGACTTCGAGTCCCCCACAGCTGGGGGCTGGGAGGACTCCAGCGTGGGGCGGCTGCAGTGGGGACATCTCCCGGCAGAGGAGAGCAGGGGCCCCTGCACGGATGCCAGCGGGGCTGCTACGGGTGAGGCCTCAGTCCCCAGCCCAGGGCAGCCTGGAGCCTGCTGCCTGGCTCCCCTGCTGGGCTCCCTGGAAGGAGGCAGCTCTGAGCGGCCCTGCTCTTCCCCAGGGCACTTCCTGTCCCTGCAGAGGGCCTGGGGACAGCTGACAGCAGAGGCCCGGGTCCTCACACGCCCCCTGGGCCCCTCAAGCCCCCACTGTGAACTCCACATGGCTTACTATTTTCAGAGTAACCCCCAAGGTACTGCTGACCCACTGTCCCTTGGGGCCCCGTGCCCAGCCCTGGGGCGGCCAAGCTCCCCAGGTGCGCCCTGCGGGAGGGTGGGCTGGGGTGGCT